TCCGAATTTATGTTACTCGTATAATGATAACGAGTACAACTTACGGGTACCGTGAAATGTATCGCATGGAAGTGTTAAAGTGCACGGCGGACTTTGGCCCAGGTATCGCGAGCCGCCCCGTGCGTCATCCTAATATGTCTCAGTGTTCGGTTTCGAACCGAACAACTCAAAAACTACCGAATGAGTTTAAACAACATTTGGCAAACATATCATTCGTAACCTAGATTGGATCGAGACATGGAAAACTGTTAGGTTCTCGGAAGACCGAACGAAATCAGACTTCCGCTAGCTAAAGTATAAAATACACGTATAGATCGATGAGATGTTCCTCAGCGAGAGTCAATATGGCTTTTGTCCGAAGAAAAGTACGGTGACTAACCTTATATGTTACACGAATCAATTAAGCAAACTTATCGACTCCGGTGGTGGGTGGACTCTATTTATACAGACTTCAGCAGCGCGTTCGACAAGGTAGACCATAATATTTTAATCCACAAGTTAAAACGGTACGGCATTCATGGACCCCTGCTTTTGTGGTTTAAATCGTATTTAAAGCATCGGGTACTGAGGGTCGTTATTAACGGTTATACATCCAGATCTTTCACGGCAACTTCAGAAGTTCCTCAGGGCTCTATTCTGGGTCCTGTGCTTTTTCTAATTTTTGTTAATGACATACCTGAAATAGTTAAACATAGCAAATGCTCGATATTTGTTGATGATTTGAAATTATATCGGTCAATTAAAAGTCAAGATGATGTAAATTTATTGCAAAATGATCTGGATGCTATACAAGAGTGGTGCCATTCCAATAAAATGGTACTCAATGCGGATAAATGTTTTGTAATTAAGTTTACTAAAAATAAAATTATTCACACACCTACATACTCAATTGACTCCAAGCAACTATCTCAAGTCAAAGCCATTCGTGATCTGGGTGTCATACTGGATGAAAAACTCACTTTTGTAAACCACGTTGACGTTATTATTAATAAAGCGTGGAGAATGTTGGATTTTTTAAAAAGGATTTGCAGGGATTTTCATAATTCAACTGCAATTTTATGCTTGTACAGTTCTCTCATTCGTACTGTTTTGGAATATGCCTCTTGCGTATGGAATCCACAGTACAAAATTTATAAAGAAAGAATGGAACGAATCCAGCGCCAGTTCACAAAATTTTTGGCATTCAAAAGTCCTAACTCTCCCTATCGCGCTAATTATGAAAATCGTCTGAAACATTTAAAAATTGACACTCTGGAGAAACGAAGAAAATGTGCCGACATCTTGTTGCTTCATAAGTTAGTTAATGGAAATATTAATGTACCTGAAATGCTTGCTGAAATAAATTTCACAGTTCCAAGAAGAATTCCACGTTATCCAATCTTGCTATTTACAAAACCGTTTTTCCGAATCAAGATAGTAGCACCCCTAGCACTCATAAGTCCATCGATGGAAACGTGTAACGATAAATCCGATGACATTGATATCTGTCACCTATCTTTCTCATCACTGAAAAAGAAAATATTTTCGATCGTGTAACAAATACCTCCATGAGTAACATTCAACTTACCACATGCAGATATTTGGAGAATAACTTTAGAGGCTTATATTCTGCCAAAAAATGTATGGAAATCGCTGTATGCACCTTAAAAAATAATTCACATAGACTCGTAATACCCATTTGTTTTTCTTTTTATGTAATAATTGTGATATTGTTATCGGTGTGTCTAATAAAATAAATAAATGTGTGTGTTTGTATGTGGGAAAGATGGCGCGTGGGCGGAACGTTGCACGTTGGGCGTAGGCGGCGGTGCGGCCGTCGGAGGACTCCTGCTCGCTGCGGGGCGAGTGTGGTGCGCCGCCCACACCGCGCTACACGTGCTCAACCCGCGCACCATGCAGGTTACGAATCGTTTGTAAAAAAATATTACTTTTTAGACTTTTTAGGCATTTTTTTAAAATTTTTCTCTGCGTAAGAATTATACTCATATTTCAAGAAATATTTTAAAAAAAGAATTATCGAAAGCGATTCAGCCGGTCTCGAGATTCGCACTCAGTAACACATTTAGCGATTTATTTTTATATTATAGATAGCACAATAAAAAAAAAACAATAACAAAATACAAATATACTCAATCTAATCTTAAACAATATTAATTTTACGTCGTTGAGTTCGGTTGTACATTTATGTCCTCGTCACTAATCTGCTTAAACCCTTTTACAGATAGAAGAAACATTCCAAATAAGCACGGAGTCGAAGCCGATCAGCCACATAGCGGTGAGCGGCGGCGCCGTGTGGGTGGCGCTCCACAACGCGGCGCAGCTGCGCGCCTACCGCGCCTCCTCGCGGGACCTGCTCGCCGACATCAACCTCACGCCGCTCGTCACCCGCATGTTGCACGGTGGGTCCCTATTGTATCACACGCGCCTACCGCGCCTCCTCGCGGGACCTGCTCGCGGACATCAACCTCACGCCGCTCGTCACCCGCATGTTGCACGGTGGGTCCCTATTGTATCACACGCGCCTACCGCGCCTCCTCGCGGGACCTGCTCGCGGACATCAACCTCACGCCGCTCGTCACCCGCATGTTGCACGGTGGGTCCCTATTGTATCACACGCGCCTACCGCGCCTCCTCGCGGGACCTGCCACGCAAATACAATAACGCCATGACTTAAATTAAGCATCCGATCACTTGAGAACACTCGTCATCGACAACAACATTAAATATTCCAATGGTCCAGGTCTCCCGCCGTAATTTTACGAATCGATGGCGTAGATTCTCGATGTTCTCAAGTGCTTGTGCAGCCTAAATTTACTTAAAGATTTTTGATTGATGTGTGATCAGGTTGCGACGACATAATCCGTCAGCACAAGGCGGCGTGCCTCCGCGTGACGGCGCTGGCGGCCCACAGCGGCACCCTGTGGGTGGGCACCAGCGCCGGCGTGCTGCTCACCGCGCCGCTGCACCACGCGCCGCACCCGCGCACCGGCGCCTTCACCACGCCCGCGCTCACAGGTACATGCCCGCGCTCACAGGTACCTACCCGCGCTCACAGGTACATGCCCGCGCTCACAGGTACCTACCCGCGCTCACAGGTACATGCCCGCGCTCACAGGTACATGCCCGCGCTCACAGGTACATACCCGCGCTAACAAGTACTTTACTATTTCATGTCTACAAAAAGCTTCACGCTTATAGCGCCCACAAGAAGAAGCAAGACAGAGGCGATTCTAAATGAATGGCGGTTGAAAAGTAAGCGAGAGTTGCGTCGCAGTAAACGAAATACTTGAAGGGCACTTTGATGTAGGCACGCGCTGGATGTCACTGAATTGTGCTCGCTGCTAACTTTGCAGCCGCCACTTAGTTTGAATTGCACTTTACCCGCCTACCCGCCCCTTACAGGCACACTACCCTCACTGTACCCACCCTGCATTAACCTTTTGTAAAACCTAATTTCTTACTGTAATTTCTAATTGCATAATTTGTAAGTTAACTGCTAGTTATTTCCTGAACTAAATAAACGCATTGTTTGAAAAAAGGTATAAGTACTACATATTTTTATCCTCGACTGAATGACACTTTGTTTAAACCCACAGGTATCCCGTACGGACACACGGGGCACGTGCGATTCCTGACTATAGTGGAGAATCCGGCGCCAGCGCGGCCGCAGCCTAAAACATCACAGTCTTCTCTCAGAGCCAAGGCTATGAGTCGCCGGTCAGCGCTGGCGGATAAGCGTGATCCACCACCAACGAAAGAAACCCTGGTCATATCAGGTGGCGACGGCTACGAAGACTTCAGGAGCTCCGGCTCTAACGAGGACGCAGGCCGCGAAGACTCCACCAACCACCTGCTTCTGTGGCGAGTCTGAAACGCTCCTACCAGGAACCGACCGTTCCAGGCAAAGAAAACTTCGCGGCAGGAGCAGAAGACGCAACGTGAAGCGACCGGATGCTCGCATCCACGAAAGGTTTCCGTGGATTTTATGCTTTCGCCATCGAGGCGAGTCGCAATCGTAAAGTTGACGAAACATTTTGAGATTATTAACAATTAGTTACGGACATGAGATGTCTATTAAAATATCATACTGCGCAGTGTTGGTGGTAAATAAATAAAAAAAATGTATGTTTTTTATCGAAATTTTGGAGGTTTATTTATAATTAATAAGGTCATACAGTATTATCGAGTGTAATCGCAGAACGACCGCCATGGCCTGCTACGTACCTTATACATTTTTTATAATAATATTGTAAAGTGTTTTGGAATTGTTTACCGTATTGTATCCGTTATTGAGATAAGAGTTGTGGTCACCCGAGCTGAGCGATTCATTGTGATATATTGTGTGTTGACGATAATCTGTACCGGTTTCCTAGTGCTCTGCCAAATATACATATTTTAAAACATCTATTAAGTGTCAATTGTTTCTTAAGTGAAATATCTCGATCATTCTGATGTTACATCTATCTACTTTCATCTAGATTTATGTTCTGATATTTTTGACGCATAATTCGAGAGCAGGGTTCAGTACTTTGCTGTTAGCGATTTAACTTGTTTCGATTTGTACCTAGACATTGTTTGTTATTTTTCATCGAAAATCTATTCTTCCCTGGTGGAAACATAGTAGGTATTTAGAACAAAAATTTGTGATTGCTCAAAAATATATTCAATTGTTACCTGCCCCATTATAATAATTGTAAGAGCAACAAAATAAAAAAAAAATGTGTTTGGTCGATGAACCCTATATTTATAACTGCAGAGTAATAATAAAGAAGGTCGCACTAACATGTCTTAGTTTTATTTTATACTCATAAATTGCAACATTTTTGACAGTTCTTTAATTTATTTCTACAATACTCAAACATTATAACCTTAAAATAAAATACAAATATCGTTAACAGGCTATTGGGACATAAAAAGCCAACGACGATCGTTTGTTCTGCAAGCCCCTCACAATTGATATGCTTGGGAATACATACAATACATACGCGAAATGTATTAAAGTTTGTTTTAATAAATTATATCATTGTATTGAAAACAACAACATTTTACATTTCGAGTACCTGGTTTTCGTTTTAAGTGTTATACTTAAATCCTTGTTAATTTTCAATTACATTTAGCAGCCACTTCATTAATGAAATCCTCCAAACTGTCAGAGTTAGTGGTATCAGTCTTCTTGCCACGGCTCACGTAGTAAGGGTCCATCTGTAGTTGAGCCGCCAGCTTCTGGAGTGAGGTGTTACGTTTATTTTTCCCATTTTTATTTGCGATCAAGTCAATAGTCGAACAAATAAGTTCTCTCGCCTTGAGAAACTCCTCGCGAGACAAAGTGGACATTGCCTTTGTGGAGTTGCCTTTCTTATCAAACTCTGCATCCTTTTTGCCTCGCGCAATATAAAAAGGGTCGTTTCTGACTGACTTCACGATTTCTTCTATGGCCCCGCGCCGGTCTCTCACAGCCTTTTCCAAATCGAAGTTCAAGAAATACTTTTTTCCTCGAGATATGAAGAATGGATCGTCTTCAGCTGATGAGCGACTGCTCCTTTCGACTACGACATAGTGCGGTTGCTCAACATACATCGTGTTATCCAATAAAGTTCCCGGGTCTTCGTTTGTTTTCAAAAAGCTTTGGTGTGTTCTTAACGGATCGTTGACTAAATGCTGGAGTCGTCTCTCTTTAGATTTGTTGTCCAAAAATGTGTCCTGGTCGTCGCTGTTTCTCCTTAGACGTGATAAATTTTCAATGTCTTTTTCGACAACACTTATGGCGTTAAGTATAGCTTCTTTCAGGTCCTGCTTGCGTCTGCCGCGACTGCTCCAAAAGGATTCCGACTCTTTTCTTCTACCACGATTTCCCCAGAATGGTTCGTAATCTTCCTGCCGAACTCTATTCCCTGGCCCCACTACGGGTTCCTCCCTCCGGCCTCTGTTTCCCCAAAAGGGCTCGTCATTTTCCCGTCTTCCACGATTGCCCCAAAAAGGTGATTCCTCACGTCTGCCCCTATTGCCCCAGAAAGGTTCTTCTTCCCGCCTTCCTCTATTGCCCCAAAACGGTGTATCCTCATATCGCCTTCCCCGGTTTCCCCAGAAAGGCTCGACTTCGTGCCTTCGGCCCCTGCTGCCCCAGAAAAGATCTTCTTCCACTTCATCAGAATCACGTCTGCCCCTCATGCCCCAAAATGGTGAGGTGTCATCTCTCGTGTGCTTCATATTTCCATAAATCGCATCAGAATTTCCGATTGGGTAGCAGTTTTTACAAAGTCTTCCCTTTTGAGGGGTGTAAGTTTTGTCTTCCATGTAGTTTTCTTCTGAAGATTCCCGCCTGCCCCTGGTGGCCCAAAATTGTTCATTTTCTGAGTCTGAATTAATTAGTTCTTTCTTACCCCTGTTAGGCCAAAAGGGATGTTCTTCCTCTTCAAGGAGGGCTCTCTTGGAGCGCTCATTCTTAGTTTCGTCTTTACTGACGTGTTTATTTTGTGGTATTTTATTTCCAATTTTTTTGTTGTTTGGACTCCCAAGGGCGAGATCCGTGGAAAGTACTAGATTTACTAACAAAAATATGTACATTTTCCTCCGCATGTTGACAAAATCTGGAAAGATAAATAAATAAATAAGTCCAAATCGATTTAATATCCATGACTTTTTATCATAAGTGAAGAAATGAAATAAATATCAAAGTGTACCCAGGGTTCCCAGAATTGTTTAGTATTCAAATGAATACGTTCTTCTACGTTCTACGTTAGGGGATAAAAATATTCAGTTCTACAAATTATATTAATTAGCAGGATTGCTGTTATGTATGTTTTTTAAGCATTTAACTGCTAGATGCTATTATGTACCTTGGATTTGTGTTAAATTCTATACAATAGCTTAAAAGAGTTTTTCTTCGTTATTTAAAAAAAAGAAACTCTAGCGTAAATGTAACAGTTCAATGCTTAAAATAACTAATATAAACTTGTGTAAAAATACACTAATGAGTAAAGGGTATCAAGTTCCCAGATTATTTGAACGATCGAAACGTCTGGAAATAGCTCATCTTTTCTCATCCTTCGCTCATTAAAGTTATCTATCAGTATGCATTATTAAATATTCTTGATCTGTGTAACACGCAAAGAATGTAATTATTTATAATAATGCATTGGTAACAAAATATTTTTATGTAAATGCTACTTTATAAAAAGCTAAGAGGAAGTTTTTTTCGCCTTTTCTTCTTGTAAGCTAAAAGATGTCCTGAATAATCGATAAAGATAAAAAATATAACGACAATACAAAAGAGCTTTTAATAAGTCAACTTGAATAAAGCAGGGCTTGAAACCGCTTTCATAAATACCGGTAAATAAAGGTTAATACCTGTTTTTAGTAAAGGTTTAGTTCGGAGCGCGTCCGAAATGAAAGCGGTACCTAAAACCCTAATAAACCGGTTTAATCCAGAGCGTCACGTGCACGCGTCGGCATCGCTTGAAGTTTGTTTTGTTTGAACTAATCAAGTCACAACTTGTTAATGCTCAGAGATTGATGCATTTATTGACACGTTTGCTAGCATCTAGTGAGTCAAGTTATTCATTTTGTAGTTGTGTATTTATTTCAGCCGTCAGTAAGAGCGAAATGAAACCATTTAAACCGCTAAATTGATTCAAAACCTATTTGATTTCGCTTTTTAGGAAAACCGATTTTTTTAAGGTTAAGGTAGAGCCAAACCTTAACAATAATAACGCTCCTAATGACACTGATTTAGGTTCGAAAATTAACCGGTAAACAAGCCCTGGAATAAAGGTTATTTTACTTTCATTTTATTTCACTATAATGCAACTTTAACATAGAGAACGGATAAATAATTTTAAAGTAAAGACATTCTTGAATTGCTTACCTGCTTTAATTCTGGCCGTTGTTTAAGATTTATCACATTTTCGGTGGGAGGGTGAAATCTTAGTTATTTCGGTGGTGTACTTCCACACTCGTGCGTGTCTCCTGGTGTGTCAAGGTATGAGGCTGTGTCGCTCGCTCCTGCTTATATAAAGGGCGGGTGTTCCCAAGGGTTGTCGCCTTGTTGTTTGTCCATCTGCCGCGGGCTGACCGTTATTAAATTAAAACAACGCTACTGTGTATTGCTTTGGACTTGTAATATGGGACGTTTAAGGGGAATGTTTTTTAGCTCTGCTACGATTCTGTTAATATTTTTCTTTCTATCGAAAGCTTCTAAATATGAGCTTGAAGAAATACACACATCAAAAGTGTCTAGGGATCAACATATATTTTTGCAATAACTTTTCTCCTGATTGATATTAATTAAAATTTTCTTTAAGGATTCATCAAATAAAGTGTTTTCGTTTGTCACAGTAACGATAAACCAAGTCACCTTTGCATTAATAAAGAAATTTGCCATTTTCCTAATAAAGGGATTTTTGACATTTGAACCACTAACACAAAAGTTCGAAAAAAAGACTGAAATAACAGTTTTCTCTAAAATTTTATTGGGTAACTTAAACAATTAATAATCCGTATTTCTACCGCGAACACTAACAACACAAGAACATCGGTTTGGCATACTCAAAATGAGTTCATCCAAATCACGCTGTGGAATGGCCGCCCATGTTCGTTGCAACAACAAAAAAAGGTCTTCTTGCGACTGGATACCCTCCATATTCGGCAGAGCTCTTCTCTGTAGCATATCCCATGCATGCTCAATCGGGTTCAAGTCTGGCGACTGAGCAGGCCAGGGCAGGACATTGATGTTAGCTGCGGCGAGAGTCTGTCTTACAACTCTTGCGGTGTGCGGTCGTGCATTATCATGCATTAACTGAAATAAGGGACCGATTTGCACTTGTAGAGGAACGATGACGTCTGATACAATCGTCTCAGCATAAATTTGAGCGTTGAGGTTGCCTCTGATCCAAATCAACTCAGTTCTTCCGCCGATCCAAATACCCGCCCATACCATGATGGTTCCACCACGATAAGGATGGACTTCCTGGCAGGATTTTAATCGCTGTTGGCGTCCAGGGGTTCTCCAGTGTCGTATACGTCTTGTATCCGGTCTCATACCAAAACGAGACTCATCAGAAAAGCACACGAAACGCCATTGTTCTTCTGCCCAATTTCTGTGTTCAAGAGCCCATTGATATCGAATCCTACGATTGTGCATTGCTATAGGTGGTACCCGTAGCGGTCTTCGGGAATGAAGGTTCACTTCATGCAAGCGGTTTCTGACTGTTTGGTCGCTAATTAAGTTCCCTGAAGAGTGATGAAGCCTCACGGCTAACATCATGGCGGTTATTGTTGGTTGCTCTTCGAGTTAAGATTTGAATGTATCGGTCTTGTCTCCGTGTGGTGCAGCGATACCGTCCTCCATGGCGCTCAGCCACGGTACCAGTGCTTCGGTATCGTGTCCAAAGTCGACTGATAACACTCTGACTTGTATTCAGAGCTAAAGCCACAGTACGTTGCCGGGAACCAGCTTCTATCATTCCCACGGCTCTGAGCATTTCTTCCCTGCTTAAATGACGTCGCCGCTCCATAATAACGTTGGTTTTAATCAGTAGTAGGGAAACAGTAGCACTAATAATGTCTTCAATGCGTTGTATGTTTTTATAGGGAAAATATTGACAGCTGATTTTCATCTTTTACTCGAATTTGATTCACAGTTCCTGATTCAAATTATGAAATGCACCAAAAAGGATCCATATAAATTTATAAAATCATAAATTTATTACAAAGCCACATCTCAATCTCAAGTAAGTTATCCAATATATATTGTGATGCTACAGTTAGAATATTTATCTCCTTGAACTTTTCTCTTTAACCATTGCGATGGACGCATTACAGTAACGCGCCAGCCCCAACAATATCCTGAACGCGTTTTGTATTGCACACGCAGTACGCCGCTGTATGTGCGCTGCGTTAACCCACAGAGCACACGTGTCAAAGTTTTGACAATAGATTTTTAACAAAACACCCCACGGAGTCTTAAAACTTTAATTACCGATAGAAACACAGAAACACCGCAAGGTGATGTTATCTTCTTGTGGTCTACTATAAAGTGGAGGTGACTTCCCCAATTTGCCGAACGCCCGTATTATTCTAAGAGCCTTAGCTGGGCACTGCCAACTCTACAGACACCAATTTTATATGAAACTAGCGGCCCGCCCTCGCTATTATACACAATGACATTCATCTATGATTCTTCTTTTACCTGCATGCAAAGTCTCAGCCGGATCGGTTTAAAATTGACAAAGTTTCATACAAACTTTCATGCCCTATTTTATCCCCTTGGGGTTAGAATTGATCAAAATCCTCTCTTAGCGGATGCCTACGTCATAACATCTACCTGCATGCCAAATTTCAGCCCGATCCGTCCAGTGGTTTGGGCTGTGCGTTGATAGATCACTATGTCAGTCAGTCACCTTTGAGTTTTATAGATATATATATAGATAGATATAGATTGAGTGACACTGATGTTTGCAGATACTGCAATCAGGAGCGTGAAACATCAAAACATCTTCTATGTGAATCTGGGCCTCCTATCCACAAACGTAGTATTCATCTGGGACGACATATAATACGCCCAGAGGAAATTAAATCTTTAGAAGCTATAGAAACGTTTTAAACTTCTTGGAAGCTGTCGAGCTACAAGAGATATTTCAAGTTAGCGGCGAGTCGTAATAGATCTTCTAGGTCGCAGTTCAGTTAGGAATGCAGTCCATGAAACTGTAGTCACTGCCACACAGCCCAAAAAAGTCTGATATAATAATTAATACTTTCCCAGTCACTCTAATCTGCTCTGCCATACCTAAATTTCTTATATTATTTGGATGAATGCTGTTAAAATACATTGTCGATATTTGATACATATATGTGTATAAAGAGTGTAATTTTTCTTTTTTTACATATATTTTGTACATACAAACCTCGTCAAAGCGATTATGAAAAATGTTTTCATATGGCATCCCCAGTGTTGCCAGGTCCGATTTTTAAAAATTGGGAGGTGTTATAGAAAAAAAAACAGTAGATGTATGGAAAGAGCTACAAGAAAAACAGTAGATGCAAAGGCGTACCTTTTTCAATTTGCACCCCCCCCCCCCCTAAATCAAATCATATAAAGACACCAGTAACGAATGTGTTTCTGTGGCTTCTACCGTCCCTTAAAGCTAGTTTTTTTAGACAAAAACATTTATTTTGAAATTAATAAGTTTACCTACATTATTAATGGCCGAAAATGCAACTCAACATGCAATTTAAAAAAGAAAATCGTATTCTAAGAAAAACAGGAAATTCATGTAGAAAAACAGTAGAACAGGAGAAAATTCAGAAAAACAGGAGATCTCCTGTAAAATCTGGAGAGCTGCCAACACTGAGCATCCCTGAAGTTCAGATAACATCACGTCGTTCGCAGTATCAATGAATAAACAAAGATTATTAGAATATTCGTTCGATTCGAGCCCCAGCCTTGACCGTGGCGGCTTGTTTGCGAAACCACACGTTTCTACATAAATTTAACGTATTCGACGTCATACAGTCTCTTTTGATCTATCTTTTAGAATAAACAAGCTTGACTGAAGAGAGCCACCGAAATAACCGGAGATTGGTATAAAAAGCTCTTCATGCGAAGTATATACTCGTAAGTATGATGAGTTAAAAACATATTATGTGCGTGTGCGCCGACATTCCAGCTCGCGGCTGAAGTTCTTCTAAGGGGGTTAACGAGATTATTTCTACCCAGGTCTTGGCACGGTTTTAGGTCTTGGTTACGTCCGGTCCTCAGTTAGGTATGTTAGGACACTATGGAGGTTTATTAACGACACCGGCGCTAGCGACGACGGTTCGAAGTCGGTATAAAATCGTGTCGTTAACAAGCGCCCTTACTTCTAAGATCATTGCGGCTGGTATAGTACCAGCTATCCTCGCAATTAGATTCCATCACTATCTAACGTTAAGTGTAACTGACTAAAAGGAAAGTGACTTCATGAGTTATCTCATATTGAAGTCATTTTTCAATTTGACGACTATGTATACAATAATAAGAATTGTTTATTAAAGGCATATAAAACCCAATAAAAATGTCATATTCAAATTACAATAAAAAAAATATAAAGTGTAAACAGAGTGAAAATAAATAGAATCATAAAAGAAAAGAAAACAGGTAATTAAGGATTATCTACGTCATTACAAGATTACAAGGTCTTCTGCCGTAGATTTGCGAACCGATGGCGTAGCTTTTCGACATTCACAAGTGCTTGCAACAGCCTAGACTCAAGAACGATATTGACTTTCGTTTTTTTTTAATGTACCGGGAAACAATTGCAACGTGGCCCTGGCGACAAGATGGGTTCTGTAATTTTTTTTATAATAAAGAGGGTGGCAAGAAGCTTATGGTCTGGCTGATAGTAAGCCGCTGCCATAGCCTATGGGCTGGCGCAATTAAATTCTACATTTCCATTTGGGTCTCGCGGCTGTACAACGGATGGTGCCTAGATAACGACTACTGGTCCGACTTGATTTTTCTTTTATATTAGACTAGTGGCCCGCCCTTGCTTTGCTTCGGTGTAGAGCTGTAGTGTAGACTACAGTTTTTGTTCAAAGGCTTGTATTATACACAATGACCTTTTTCATAATAATTATAAACCTTCCATTCCAAGTAAAAAATTCGTTGCGTAGTTTAGGACTCGTTGTACCGAATGCAACATTGCTCTGTTGTTCCGAATTGAAAAATTGTTTTTGTATTGGACAGTGCATTTATCTATTGACCAGTAGCAGCGGAGCATCGATGAAAAATGTTGCAAAAACGGGTAAAAATATTCCATTTGTTCCGTTACGTGCGCTGGGTAAATGGTTAAAGTTACACAAAAATCATAAATGACGGAATTCTTTCCCTTTAAAAGTTCTGTAAAAAGCCCACGACATCCTATGTTTATATTTTAAGTTTGACTCACTATAAACCTTTTTCTTCAAATTAACGCGGGTGAAACCGCAGGGGACCT